TTCTTTGTTAAACCACTCGGTACCTTTTACCTTTTGTTGTTTTTGTTAAGTTGTAGGAAACACAAACATGGCCGAAGTGACCGCACCAAATCAAGTCATCACCAAGGCTCTTCCTGCATTGACGGCCCAACTCACCATTATCAGTGAGAGGATGGCATGCATGGAGCAACAACAATAGCAACCGCCACGTCGTGATCCCATACACAACGCTCCAGCAATTATGCAACAAGACGGAGGAGTTGAACCCAGAGAGAATCAATACGCACCACCACCAAGAGCGAGAGATCCTCAACATCGAGGGCAAGTCCAAGAAGAAGAAGCTCCAAGGCTTCACGGCATTGATCCAAAACTTACAGCCCCAACCTTTGCCGGCAGAATCAACCCTGATGTTTACTTGGATTGGGAGTCACGGCTCGAACACATTTTCTAATGTTACGAGTACAATGACCAAAAGAATGTCACTTTTGCGGCAGCTCAACTCACGGAGAATGCCCTCTCCTGGTGGGACCATGAAGTAGCTGAAAGGAGACGACACCCACATGGCCAAATCACCAACGGGATGAAATGAAGTTCCAACTCTGCAAGAGGTATGTACCACCATATGTTTACCGTGAGATGCTGAAAAAGTTTAGAAAGCTTGTGCAAGGAAACAAATCAGTGGAGGAGTACTTTGAAGAGTTTGAGCAGCTCAGGAATAGACTAGTGACCGAGATACCTGAGGAGGATCTCATGGCTCAGTTCTTAGATGGTCTCCAAAACCGTATCTCTCGTAAGATTGATATGCAACCGTACCATGACCTCCAAGAGCTTTTGCACTTGGCTATACATGCTGAGAAACATGTCAAGAGTAATCCAGTCTCAAGCAGGCCTAAACCGCAATGGAACTCCAATGCACCAAAGCCATATGACAAAGGCAAAGCGATTGAAGTGGTGTCTCGGTTTAAGAAACAAGCACCTGAGCCGTCTAAGAACAACCGACCTGACCAAAGTAGGTTCACTAATAACCCATCTAGAACCTGTGACATTACTTGTTTCAAATGTCAAGGCAGGGGTCACTACGCAAAGGAGTTCCCAAATCAGCGTGTCATATGTTGATGGAGGATACAAATCACAAGAGGAGCAAGAAGAGGAGGTCATCGAGACAGATGAGGAGGTTAACTATCCAGAGATCAGAGAACTCCTAGTAACATGCCGCATTCTTAGCACTATGATCGAGCCAGATGACACCATGCAACGCGAGAACATCTTTCACACAAGATGTACCATGGGAGGCAAGGTATGTAGTTTGGTTATAGATGGAGGATCTTGTACTAAAATTGCGAGCAAATACATGGTTGAGAAGCTAGGTTTGCCTAAGAAAAGCACCTGAGGCCATATAAACTAAGGTGGCTAGACGATAGCACTGAGCTCAAGGTGGCCGAGCAAGTCACCGTGCACTTCAATATTGACAAATATCCAGACCAAGTGTTGTGTGATGTGCTTCCAATGCAAGCTGGACATCTCCTGCTGGGGAGACCGTGGCAGTTTGACAAAGAAACCTCCCATAATAGCCGCACCAACCAGTACTCATTCATTCATGACAAGCGTAAGCACACTTTAGCTCCTCTTAGCCCTTTCGAAGTACATGAACTTCAAGTAAAGATGGCTAAAGACCCTGAGGTAAGTAAGACTAATCTATACATCACTCCAACTGTTGTTAGTAAAGCTTTACTTTCTCAACAAACCGTGCTATTAATGATCTTCAAAGAGAGCTTGTTCTCAGGAAACGAAACCAATGATTTACCTGTAGAGATCCGCAGCTTGTTAGATAAGTTTCAGGATGTATTCCAGAAGAGATGCCACCAGGTGTACCACCTCTCAGAAGCATTGAGCACCAGATAGATTTGGTCCCTGGAGCCGCATTACCAAACAGGCCAGCGCATCGCATAACCCGGGAGAGGCTAAAGAATTGGAGTCTCAAATTCAAGACTTGATGGCCAAGGGCTACATCAGAGAGAGTTTGATACATTCAAGGAAGGTTTTTTTAGTTGCTTTGTGATACATTGGCTGATCTCAAATAGAGTAATGATGATGTCAGATGGACTGAGGGACAGTCCATAAAAATAGAACTAATATGAAGAGAAAACATAAATGAGTACAAAAAAAGATTGATATCAATTTAAGAGCATTTTATATGCCTTGTTGTTGGCATAGTCTTAACTTTGACATTTTTTTATATGGCCAAATCTACAAAATTGATTGCTTTCTTTGGAATCATTCAACTGATATATTATTTGTTTTCATCATCTACAAATAGGTGGGAACTATTTAAAGAGATGGTAGGAGGTCTCATATTTAAGTCATTATCAGAGACACGCTGGAAAAGTGTTCGAGCAATTTGATTTTAGGCACCAAAAATAACAGATGCTTTGGATTGCTTGGCAGGAAATTGAGATGATTGCAGTGATGTTGAAGCTCTTGCTACAAGTGAAACTCATGGAACTGGAGGATTTGAGTTCTTATATGATTTGGTTATTTGGTATGATCTTCCATTTACCGTCAATATAGTAAGTAAGGTGATACAATCAGAGCATATTAATATTAATGATGTCTTATTCAGTTGAAAGGGTTAGTTTTGTTTCTAGAAACTATAGAGAAACTGGATCAGAGTTGTAAGAAAAGTTTTACCAAGCGAGATCAAGAAAACTATTAAAGTGTTAGACTTTTGAAAAAATATCAAGATCGTTGTTAGCCAACACTACAAAAAAAAAAAGTGTGTTTCACATCACTTATTTTTTATATTTTCATTAGTTATAAATAATATAAGAGAATTTTGTATTACTTAAAATAAATGATTCTAGATATGGTGATGCAAATAGTTTGCATCAATTGTTATAAATTTTACATCAATTCTTATAAACGATGTTAGTATGTATCAGTTGCAAAAAATGATGTTAAAATTTACATCAATTCATAAATATGATGCTAGTATTTGTATCACTTGTAATTATTGATGTAAACTATATATCACTTTTACACAATTGATGTTAAATTAGTGTTAATTTTATTAAGTATAATAAACTGATAATTTATAAATTATTTTAATATTAAATTTGAAATTAAAATAATAATAACTTAATTTAGAAATTCAAAAGTTTACTTAAGACAATATGTAACCGTAATTACAACTTAAAAGGTTACCTTAATATTAAAGTCAATATTCAATTTTGGTAATTGTATTTATAAAACCATTCTCCTTTCACATTTTTTTTAGTTGTCGATGTGGGACTTTTAGTGTAAGAGTAATTAGTATCAGTTTCCACTGATGTAAATTTCCTATCATTTTTTAAGTGATGCTAATAAATATTATCAAATGCATCGAGTATTTAATTGATGTAAACTGGTATTTTTATATCATTTTTATTAAAGAGATGTAAATTAATAGGGATTTGTATCAGTTATAAGAGAATTGATTTCAAACAAGTCAAAACCATATCAGTTATTATAATTGATGTTAAACTAAATATTTTGTATAACTTATTAATAAGTAATTCAATTTAACATTACTTTATTTTGTGATACTATTTAAGTGATGTAATACACCTCTTTTTTGTAGTGCAAATACATGTCTTACATATAGAATGATGTTAATAAAATATATCAAGATCGTTGTTAGCCAAAAACATAGTTCCAATTTCACTCACCTCAGCCAAAAGAAGTTTTTACAAGTTAATAAAGTCCTACTTGGGGTCAAGTATATCAGTAGAGAGACTAAATGGCTTGACGATATTGTTAATTAAGAAATATAAAGTTAGAAAGTTTGGTTATTAAAGTCTGACGAATGATTTTAAAAAAATTGGAAAAAATAGTATTTTTTAAATATATAGATTGTTATTACTTTTACTTTTTAAAAAATAAAAATTTTGTTTCATTAGCAGTTTAGCATTTTTTTATTTGATTTTTTTTTATATAATTTGTTATTTTATGAAATGAATTAGTGGCTTCTAGTTTTTTTTTTTTTTGAAAATGACACGTGGCTACATGAAGTGTAGAGCATCACATGGCTATAGAGCATCAAACCCCCCATAGTTTTAGGACTGGCCCTGGCCCAAGGGTCTCGGAAAGTTTTGAGCCGATGCTGAGAAAACTGTGACTGTTAACCACGAAATTTCTAGCTCTAACTGAAAGGGTTTTTCCCCTTTCTCCTCTATATATGAATTGGGTCACATATACTTGATGAAAATTCATGGAATGACCATCGTTAGTCCACATCATTGCTAATATCAAGAAAATGAAATTCCTTGGTAATCACGGTTAGTCCTAGACACTCACGGCAAATTCTCATTATTAGTTTAACACTAACCGAAGGTTTTAACTCAAAGTGAATTTGGATTTGGTACTTACACGTCAGTTATAATTCTTCTGGAATTAGGATTTAATACTTAAACAACAGCCTTAATCCATATATAGTACTCTAACCACTCCGAAAAGTTAAGCAAAGACAAACAATTGAAGCAACCAGATTATCCGAAAGGACCAAATATTTGACAAAAATTCGAATTTTTGGAGATTTTTCACTTGCAATCGTTAAAAACAGTAAATTTTTGGTAATTCAAACGGTCAGTTCAAATGTTACATATCAGTATCTTCGGTCAGTTTGTAGAACTTTTTAATTAGGAACCGGATGAAATTTAAAATTCCCCCTAGAGATCAATCAATCGATAGCTGAATTTTGGGGGCCTTTTTAAGCCACAAATTTGAAGTGGCTGTTTCGTGGCCACTAACAACTAAGCGGTCAATACCATGGACAAACCCACGTATTTAAAACCAAATTTATTGATAGTTAGCTACGATTGATGGGACATTGGTCTGTTTGTTCTATAAGTTATATATTTACAACTAACAAAAGTTTGATGATTCTATTCAGACATGAGAAGAAGATCGATGAATGGATATTGACATATTCTATAGTCTCTTCCTATCATCAAAATTTGGGGGAAAAAAAAAGGAAGAGAAGAATCTGCAGCAATATATTTATTCTATGTTATTATTAATGCGTGTAACAGAACAAAAAGATGATTTTGAGTTAAATAAAACCAAAAAAAATGACAAATTGTATTGTTACAAACAATGAATCCTACTTTGTTTACTCACTTCCATAAATCTCCATGGCATTATAGCTGATGCCGAACTTTGCTGGTAGAATTTGACTTTGAGGATGAACATTTCAGAACATACCAACTGAGTTTCTCTCTGTAGTTTCTCAAATTTTGTCTTTGAAACCATTTTCTCAAAATTTTGAGCTTTTGGTAATCATAATCTTCTCTGGCTTCAGGAGACAAAAATCACAATCTCTTCTTCTTCTTTTTTTTTTTAACCATACTGTAAACTAATAAAAATTACCAGAAGCGTATCCTCATATTTATGTCCGTCGCATCCTACCGTCTTCTACTGTAGTCTCGCATATACACCCGGGAAGAGGATTCGCATAGAAACTCTCTTCCAGCTTCGGGAATTCCCCGGATTCTCTGTTATACGGAGCTCCATTTCGGTCTTTGTGCAGCTTTTTTACTTTGGAACTGAACTTTTTCCAAGAAATTCTCCCATCATCTAAAGCATCAACAAGTTTCACAAAGTTCATCCTGCATCGGAAAAAAAAAAAAAGTTGTGACTAAAATGATAACTCTACAATAAACTTAATCGGTGGTATTGTTCAGGAGTGTTTACTTGTCTGGATTTATGGTTTTTTTGAAGTTCTCGAATCGCCTGTGACCTTGAACCGCTTTTGCCATGTTCCCATCATAAGTGTAGAGAAACACCTCGCTTTGAAGCGCAACGATATAATCCAAACCAGCCAACATATTCTGGTGGTTACTAAAAGGCTCTAGCTCTTCTTTGGTGGCAAGAGTTGAATGTGAGAAAATGTTGGGGAAGTCTGTGTTGAGAGGATCCATGCTTCCGTTTCCATAAGCTTCACCAGCTACAAGGTAAATCCTGGAGCTAGACGGGAAATCCAAAGCCCTTAGCAAAAGCGAGGTTTCCCTCGGAGTCAATGGACAACCACCTTGCAATCTTCTCTCTGTTCCGTTTATTTCTTTTTCTTTCCAGTGACTAACCTCATACCGCATCTGCCGTAATTCTTCGTCTTCTTCAGCTGTCAAACTATGACTGCAGCCTGTGAAAGCCAGCATATCTTTCTCGTACCTATAGAGGACAATAAACTTGTCATGAACCACAAATTACATATAGGGATGTTTCAGTATTTACATGGGCTATATGATGTGACAAACAGACAAGCTACTTGCCTTAAATGAAGAGCAAGGTATGGACCTCTGTTCTGTCTCATTCTAGAAACCAGAACGTTTCCCAGTTCTTCTATTGGAGCTGAATATTTCAGCGCCCTGTAATTTACTCGACAACGAAGCTTTTGTACAGAATCAGGCAGGTCATTATTAGCGAGCCGGGAATCAGTGTGAGTTAAGTACATTACGATATGCTGTTTCAACAACGGAAGGACCTCTTTCTTGTAGTAACCAACCTGTTACACGGCGAGAAAATTAATTGACCGATGGTCTTCTTGAAAATAGTTTTATGCAAATAGTAGTGACTAGTGAGGCGAGGGGTCACAATAATAACCAAATATCAAAAAAGCAATCTTGACCTTAGACCACGATATAGGTGTTTTAACAAAAGGCTCGATTCCGGCTAATTCTGATGGCAGCGTCTCAACTATGTGAATATCATCCTTCAACTCCTCAATGAAGTGTTGCCAATCAAATAGATCCTTAAAGCCACTGCAAACATGGTAGAATAAGAGGATATAAGCTAAGAGCAGATCATAAAACGAACTGAAAGTCACCTTCTATGACTATGGTAGTGCTTTAATTATTTTGTTTTGATATGATACGAACAAAGATATAAGCTGTTTAACTACCAAAACTTCTTTCATTACATTAAATTATACAGAACTAACCTGTCATCTGCCCAATATGAGCTGTGGTCAAGTGAGGGAAGAACTAAAGTTGCCTTCATAATTTTAGCCACTGCAACCATATCACATATCTGCATTCTAAAATGGTTAAACGCATCAGCCTAGAACTTAGAAGCAGAAGATAACTTCAGAAACATTGAGAAAAACACAAAAGCCTGACCCCAAATCTCATTTGGTTTAGTCCTCCATTCGCGTTTATCAGCAGGTAACCATTCGTATTAGCACCCAACTCTGCACACAACATATACTCTCACATGGTAAGAACTTAAAGCAGAGAACAAGAATCGCAAGAAAACAACATTGATACTAGCAGAACTAATAGTTTCTATTTTTCCAAGGACATACTTTTGCGAGTCCTTAAAGTCTCAATGCACTGCGAGTGATTTCCACTCTCAGGTTTTGCCCAAACACCTGAATACTGAAGCGAGATTTAAGATTCAAGATGGTATAGAATGAAGCAACACAATCTACTAGAAAGCTTCAAAAGAACCAGTGGACGAAAATCTGAAACTCGGAACTAATACGACTTACTTCAACAACACTGTTTTGGTCACCCACCACACCTGAAGCAACCATAGCCAAAGTTGGATCAATACCATTTCCTCCATCTTTATAGATATAATCATGGGAGCTGTGATCTAGTAGATTTACTCTGGGAATCGAGTCGGATAAATCCTAGAAGAAATTACCAAAAGTTATGTCAGATATTTAAATCCCCTTCCTCCCCCACACATTTTCAACCAGAGAAACACTTAAAAACACTATTAGCATCATAAATGTGAAGATCTTAAAATTAAAACAGGAAATTTACCAAAAGTTATATCAGATGTTTAATCTCCTTATCCCATATATAAGCCACAAAAATTTCAACACTTCAAACACTATTTAGCATCATAACTGTGAAAGATCTTAAAACCAACCAAGCAATTTGGGAACATTCAAAGGCGCAATTTCAGTTCTGAGAAGGAACCTGATCGGAAGCTGCACCATCAATGGCAGATCCAAGCCAACCAGTAGCACAAATCTTCAAAACACCCATGAACAAACACACACCACAAAACGCGAAAAACATCCAATGCCCAAGTTTCTTCCTCTCTCTCAAGCTCAATTCCGAAACCACCGATCCCATCGGCTTCCTCAACAAACCTTTCACAACTCTCTCCCTCAACTGACCATAAGTCTGATGCTTTCTATTAATCGCAGACTCAAACGCAGAGCTCGGATCTAAACCCGAACCAGAAGCGATCTCTGATCTAGGTGAGTTAAGCTGGAGATCGATCTCGTGGTGAACTCTCAAGGTGGAGTGATTCGTGCCGGTGCTATTATCACCGGCGCTGATACTGCCTCCGGCGTGAGTGTTGTTGCTGCTGCTGCCTCCGGAGCCGCCGCGTTTGAAAGATTGAGCACGGCGTGTCATGGGACCGGAGAATCGTGGGCTATTGACATGTTGAGGGACGCCATCGCCACCGTCCTGGTGGTGGAGGTGGTGGCCCATTTCAAGCTCTTCTTCGATTGTTGCTATCTTTTATGAGAAATGGAGAAGACGATAAAAAATACTTCTTCTTCTCTGCGCTTATCTTCCAAAAATTTTCCTTCTATTTCAATTTTTTTTCTCTCTTTTCAAGCAATTTCTACAGATTCAAGTGGGAACTGAGATTTGAGAGAATTTTTTCGCGTTTCGTTAGTATCAGTAAAAAAAAAAAAAATAATAATAATAAAATAAATAATAATAATAATTTATTTTTTTATATATTTTATTTTATATATTACATGGAGACTTTTGACTGGAGGAGAATACGCAAAAAATGGAGAAGCAAATACGAGTTGTCAAGCGGTGACCAAGAAAAAAAAAACTATCATCCCGCTGCTGCCAAGCTGTTCCAATATATACATGTTGCTGCTAATAACTTTTTTTTTTGGGAGAATAACTATAAAGCACTAAAAAGATCATTTTATTATTATAATAGATTTAAACTTTGAAAAATGATTAGAATATTTTTGAACCTCATTAATATCCATTACACCTTCGTTTGCGCATGATACCAAAAACTGAATAACGCTAATATCATTATTTTTTTATTATATCGAGGAACTTAATTACAAGAATATCACCGTTAAGTTAATGAATGTAGATATATTAAATTTGCAGACTTATTTAGCCGAATTGGCTTAGACCAAGACTTGTACCGTAGACATATCGTCTTGACTATGTAAATTTATCTGCTCGGACCACCAACGTTAGGTGGACTTGTTCAGCATGCAGATTTATTGAGCCGAGTTTACTTGCTCGCAGACTTTCAGTATAGACCTATCCCTCATTGCAGTCGACTTACCCATATTGATGGTCTGCACTTTACGTAGACTTGTTGAGAAGGTAGACTTGTTGAACCGATCTGACTTGAACTCGGATTTTATGCGTAGACATATGTTAGTGATGGTGCAGATTTATCAGATCGGACCACTAACGTTAGGTGGACTTGTTCAGAGTGCAGACTTATTTAGCCGAATTGGCATAGACGAAGACTTGTAGCGTAGACATATCGTCTTGACTATGCAAATTTATCTGATCGGACCACCAACGTTAGGTGGACTTGTTCAGCGTGCAGACTTATTGAGCCGAGTTTACTTGCTCGCAGACTTTCAGTGTAGACCTATCCCTCATTGCGGTCGACTTACCCATATTGATGGTCTGCACTTTACGTAGACTTGTTGAGAAGGTAGACTTGTTGAACCGATCAGACTTGAACTCGGACTTTATGCGTAGACATATGTTAGTGATGGTGCAGATTTATCAGATCGGACCATCAACGTTAGGTGGACTTGTTCTGAGTGCAAACTTATTTAGCCGAGTTGGCTTAGACGTAGACTTTCAGTGTAGACATATCATCTTGACTATGCAGACTTATCAGATCGGACCACCAACGTTAGGTGGACTTGTTCAGCGTGCAGACTTATTGAGCCGAGTTTACTTGCTCGCAGAATTTCAGTGTAGACCTATCCCTCATTGCGGTCGACTTACCCGTATTGATGGTCTGCACTTTACGTAGACTTGTTGAGAAGGTAGACTTGTTGAACCGATCTGAATTGAACTAAGACTTTATGCGTAGACATATGTTAGTGATGGTGCAGATTTATCAGATCGGACCACCAACGTTAGGTGGACTTGTTCTGAGTGCAGACTTATTGAGCCGAGTTTACTTGCCCGCAGACTTTCAGTGTAGACATATCCCTCATTGCGGTCGACTTACCCGTATTGATGGTCTGCACTTTACATAGACTTGTTGAGAAGGTAGACTTGTTGAACCGATCTGACTTGAACGCGGACTTTATGCGTAGACATATGTTAGTGATGGTGCAGATTTATCAGATTAGACCACCAACGTTAGGTGGACTTGTTCAGAGTGCAGACTTATTGAGCCGAGTTGGCTTAAACGTAGACTTTCAGTGTAGACATATCCCTCATTGTGGTCGACTTACCCGTATTGATGGTCTGCACTTTACGTAGACTTGTTCAGAAGATCGGACCCTCATTGTGGACTGCACTTTACGTAGACATATGTTAGCAATCGGTCTTTATGTGTAGACATATCTTAGGCGAATGTGGTTAGTAGTTGGCAGTTGGACGTAAGCGTCGTAATTAATGAATCACCAATTATGGGTCACACATAAAACAGAGTAAACAGAGTTCCGGTATCACGTTTCTATGGTTTTAGTTCAATTTTTTCTTTGTACAACAATGCAGAAAATTATCATTGTATGTGGTGAATGGAAATAACAAAAGAACCGCTGGTTGTTTTTCGTAGACAGTACAAGGGGTAGTCGCCTTATTGTTGCAGATAATGGAATAAGTTTTAAAGAGTTTGTTTCCATGGTTTATGAAGATTTTGGGTTTGACAAAAGGTTGCAGGAGATCCAGCTCAGTTACATGCTGCCGAAGAAGGTTTTGTTGCACTTACTTCAAGACACGCCGTGCGTGGTTATTGGGAACAATCGCCAATTTCAATGGTATCTAGATCAGTGTTTGGAAGCATCTATTCGATTATGTGTGACAGTAAAAGACAGAAAAGAGGCGGACCTGAAGGATGGCAAGAAAAGGGCGAAAGTTGATGAAGGTACAAGAACTGGCGATGTAGACGAAGATGACGAAGAAGGAGATATATTTGATTGCTGCGATGACTCTGATGGGGCTTCAGAGGGCGATGATGAATATTCTGTATATGGAAAGTACAAAATCGTTGAAGAAAAAACAAAGTCTTCCGACTCTAAACAAAGCTTCACCGCAGAATGGAAATATACCAGACGAGTATCAGGTACTTGAAATGTCGGCGTTGAATCTAGCTGTTGGACAAAGATATGAAAACAAGGTGGCGTTGGAGACAAGGCTGAAGTTGCTTTCAGTTATCAATCATTTTGATTTTGATGTCGACAAATGTTGTCAAATGTTGTCAAATGTTGTCAAATGTTGTCATGTCATACCGATTGGTGATAGCTTACACTTTTACGTTCGGATATATGTTGGAGAGCATACTTGTTCTGTAACTGAGCGTTCGAGACGTACTCGACAAGCCACTCATCAGATTCTAGGTGTGCTATACAAAGATTTTGTAGGTGGTGTTGGTCCAACGGTATTACCAAATCATGTTGCTGAAGCATTGCAGAAACGGTTTCGACTTAAGGTATCTTATTTTGTGGACTTATATATTTCCTCTAACAGTTGTTTAGTCCGTGGGGACTTATCTATACCATGCAAAATATTGTAGGTAGAATATTGGAAGGCTCATCGTGCTTTGCGACATGCCCGGGATTTAGTAACGGGAACACCAGAAAGTGGTTACGAAGACCTGCCCACATATCTCTACCAAATACGTCGAGCTAATCCCGGTAGTTTTACACGGCTCCAAGTTGACGAGAATAACAGGTTTAAGTACATTTTTATAGCATTTGGTGCAAGTATTGCTGGGTTTCAGTACATGAGGAAAGTCATCGTAGTTGATGGCACACATTTGCATGGCAAATACAAAGGTACTATGTTGTTAGCAACTGCACAAGATGGAAACTTTGGTATATTTCCATTTGCTTTTGGTGTGGTGGATTCAGAAAATGATGAATCTTGGGAGTGGTTTTTTAAACAATTAAGTCATGTCATACCGGATCATAGAGGGCTTGCCATCATCTCAGACAGGCACAGAGCCATTGGAAACGCCATAGGGAAGGTGTATCCTCTAGTAAGTCGTGGCATTTGCACTTACCATTTGTATAAAAATATACTACAAAGGTTTAGAGGGGGTGAATCGTTTCATCTTGTTAAAAGAGCGGCCAATGCTTTTCGAGAATACGAATTTAATGCCATTTTTGAAGAGATTCGGCAGGTTAATCCAGCTCTCCACGGTTATTTGCAAAAGGCTGATGTAAGATATTGGACGCGGGTATATTTCCACGGCGATAGGTACAACTTCACAACAACAAATATAGCAGAGTCAATCAACAAAGTTCTTTCAGAGGCTAGAAGTTTGCCAATTGTGCAGCTTATAGACGCTATAAGGTCAATGCTGACAAGATGGTTTGCAGAGCGGCGTACCAATGCAACCGTAATGAAAACCGTCTTAACCCGCAGCATAGAGAAGTTGCTTGAGGTAAATTACTTTTGATTTACAGATGTTTTTTTATTGTTTAATATGTCATTGTCACAATCAATTGCTGCTTCTTTAGGGTCGTATGGAAAGGTGCAAGGATCTATCAGCCCAGCAGATTGATTCCCATCAATTTGAAATCGGTCGTGGAGCATCTGTTAATGTTGTCAATTTAACCATGAAGACGTGTACATGTCGAATGTTTGACTTGGACAAAATACCTTGTATACATGCCCTTGCGGCTGCGGATGCAAAAAAGGTTTCGCCAATTCGGTTATGTCATCAATACTATCACACGACTTACCTTACTAATGCATATGCGGCATCCATTTGTCCAAGGTATAAACAATCACCCGTACCCGCAGAGGTTGAATCGAAGATATGCGTACCACCAATGGTACGCCAACCTCCAGGAAGACCGAAGAAGTGCAGGTTTAAGTCTGCCATGGAAATTGCTCTGACGAAAAAAGTTCCAAGAAAACTTCCAACATGTTCAAAATGTTGTCAAACAGGCCATAACGTTAGGACGTGCACTTTCTAGGGCGAGTTTTGATGCACTTGTAATTTCCCAAAATGTAAACGCTAGTTGTTCTTTCAGTGCTTAGACTTTCAGTGTAGACATATCACCTGTTCGGTGCAGTGTTTTCAGGCCGAGTTGACTTGGCCGTAGACTTTCAGTGTATTCATATCCCTCATTTTGGTCGACTTACCCGTAATAATGGTCTGAACTTTACGTAGACTTGTTCAGAAGGTAGACTTGTTGAACCGATCTGACTTGAACTCGGACTTTATGCGTAGACATATGTTAGTGACTATGCAGATTTATCAGATCGGACTGTAAACGCTAGTTGTTCTTTCAGTGCTTAAACTTGTTGTGTAGACATATCACCTGTTCGGTGCAGTGTTTTCAGATCGAGGGTAATGTTACAAAGACTAAAATCCCAGAGAAAATCTGTAAAACAAGAGTTATACAAACCACAAGAGTTATACAAACCACAAAAAAAGAGTTATACAAAGCACAGTTAGTCTTCTAGACATAGACAGAAATAGTTTTTCAAGCTACAGCATGCTCCACAGTACATTCCCGAGCACGCTGATCGAACCCCGCCTTGTTTTCCTTGTACAGCTTCGCTTTGCCCTCATCGTAGTAGTCCCCCTCACCTATTTCTGGGTTAGTGAGCATGTCATGAAGTTTGATGAAAACCTTATGGATGGTGTATATGGGCGATAAGTAGTCGGTCATCAGCATCCGAAGGAAGATATGTCCACGATCTCCTACATTGGGGTGAAAGATTTTGGTTATGAAGAAGACCTGCAGAAATCGGGTTGTTATGAATCTTTTCCGAGTTTTGGGAAGAGAAAATATAAGAACCGTTTAAAGCATCATACCTTGGGTGGCTTGAACGGGTATTCTGGAGGAAATTCCATGCCGATTTTGTAGACTCCGTTCTCGTAAGGCGATCCTGCTGGCCCTATAAGCACAGCCTCCCAATAAAACATCTTTTCATCAACGGGGCCTAATCAAATGGGTGACACAGAAAAAATCAGTACTTTTTTCAAAACTCGGAAACAACATAATTAAGCGTAATACAAAAACGAAATACCTGCCCTGTAGAGCGGGCTCTTAACCCTATCAATTTCATTTTGCTGCATTGTTATGGCTCTCTCCCAGTACTCTGGCATACTCTGTCCACAATAAACGATTTTTGCTGCATTGTTATGGCTCGAAACCCACATATAGCAATCCTCTCATTTGATTTACTAACAACTACATCAATAATCCCCAAATTCCCCTAATTCAAACTTGGCAAACGATACTAAACATCAACACTGCACCACATGGACTCATAAACCAGACAAGACAGACCACAACTCAATGAACAATGAACGTAATCCAAATATCAAACAAAAACAATAAAGCCCCAAATTTCAATTCGCAGATTTTTAGGGCTTCTAACTCCCAAACAATCCCCCATGCAAATCACGATTCCTTACAGAGACAAACACAAATCGAAAGAGATAGAAGGAGAAAACGTAAACAACTTCGATTACCCCCTTAATTTTTTAAACTCGAAATCGACAACATTTGGGTAAACACAGTACAACGATTTCGTAAACGAGGAAGGATTCACTGACCGGAAAATAAGGGCGACGAGATTGGTTAACCGTTTGATGCAAATCCTCACTCTAATCGCAAATACCCACTCCGAAATTTCTCTCTAGCAAAATCGCCACCTCTCTCGCAAACCCTAATTTCTATCGGGCAAATTTTGGTTTGGGCGCGACCAAATCAGAAAACTCATTAAGTGTGAGAGACACACTATTTGGTGCAGAGGGTTTTGAAAACGCGGCTAAATATGGAGACTTTTAGATCCGAAATTATATGCCCGCAGACTTTTAGTGTAGACATATACATACATATGAACTCGGACTTGTTGTACAAATAAGTTGTTGTAGACTTATTCAGATCGCATACTTGTTGTACAAATAACGTGAACTCGGACTTTATGCGTAGACATATTTTTCGATAATTATAAATCTACGTTTACTTACGACATAAAATTACAAGTCTACTACAAAACGTCACAAACACAAAGTAACGTACAATGGATCCTAGTACATAAACTAATGCCGAGAACCCGAGAAGGGAAAATGGGTCCTATTAAAGAAACTACCGGGCTTAAGCCTACAAGTTCATTGCATAACTACCGACAAAAGTTCATATAACATAGTAAGACATTGCAGCAAACATATTGAGCCCGTCGGGTTACTTAAACAGAAATGTCATTGCAGCAAAGACCACGAATAACGCTAGAAGCACGATATCTGAACACCTGTTTGTGTATACGTCCTTAAACCAAGCTATGTCTCGCTGAATCTCTTCCACCTGTAGCTTCATTTCCAATATGTCATCCCCATTGCCCTAAATTATCATTCGCATATGAGCTAAACGACTCTCCATTTGTGAATCACTGGGGAGGTCTATTCTGTTAAAGCTCTGAATCATCTCCTTTTGGTCTGCTAGTCTGTTTTGTAGAATCTCTAGTTGCTCTGTAACTCCTTCATCCCACCACTTCCAAATGTGTTCATCATTCTCCTAGGATAAAATAAATTTGTTCTTACAAATACCAACAGCAATATCAGATAAATAGTGTGCGTGAATAAAAGTTACAAACTAACCTCCCCCAATATCTCCCGACAACTGTAAAACTTTCTGCCGAAAGTCGCCATTGCTGTTGATTCCTCAAGGACGGTATGACGACCACAGAAACAACGTTCAGGTATTCCATAATTGGCATCCGCTCGATTATAAGGACAAGCCCAAATCCCTTGGGACGAAGATGAACCACTGCTGTAGCTGATCGGCATTGTGAAGGCGAAATCAGGAATTAGGGTTGGTTGATTTTAGGTTTTTTTTAGTGAGTGAAATTTGGTTCGATAACTGAGTAACCCTAAATCGCGAAGTATCCCCAAATATAAATCACGGGTGAGAGAGACGAGTAAAGATCACGTGTTTTCCCAACGCTACCCCCAGTTGCATTTTGACATGTGGATATCTTAATAAGTCTATAAAGCAGTATTAAGTAGACTTATCCGCATGGTTTGTAAGCGTACATGTCTATAATGTATTATGTCTACATGTATAATATGTTTATAAGTCTACATGCCCGATATGTTTTATGTCTGCTAATATGTTAATAAGTCTGCAGTTGGAGAACATATGTCTACAAAGAAGGATATGTCTCATAACCTACCGCATAATTAGAGTCATTACAGTCACTTATCCTTACAAAAGAAATGTAATCCTACTCGTACATGGACCATTGGTCGTGGCAATTAGGCCTTTACAAAAAATATTACGAGTTCAGGTACATAATAACCGAGCAATGGGGTCGTTACAAAAAATATTACGGTAACCCCATAATCCTTCAACAAAAGGCAGCCAACACAATCTTCCCTATGGCTGTGAGTCATTGTGTAGAAACAGACGATCAGTCGCATTACCTCGAGGTAGTGGATTTGACATTTGGTTGTATGTGTCAGGGACCTCATCGAAAATCTCGACTGCAAGCTTCATCCTCATAAAAGGCATGCTCTGATCGTTAATCGTTAATCCCTTCAAAAGAGTAACCTAAAGCAAGACACTCTAAAAACTTACATGTATACACGCCGCAATCACCACTCTGTATATTCTGTGGCACATTGGATCTCCTCCTGTAAATTGTGTACTGCTTTAGAACGATGTCCTTTTTGGATGCAGGAGGTGCTATAGATCTAAGCATATAGGGAAGCATCCTAGCATACGGTTTGACCTCCTCAATTATCTCCTTGTCACTATAAGCACTTATGATGCAATCATAGACGTCAATATGTTGCCTGACCAGGTTAACATGAAGACCTATCCAATGCCGGCCCTTGATGTTGTGCGCAAAATACAGATGATCAACGTCAGCCACCCATTTCTTGTTTGTAATAGCATAATACGGGTACACGCCGTTCATCACCTCTATGTAAGACTCTCGGAACATGAAGTTCATCGTATTGATTGCAAATTGTTTGTAGTCATGATACCATGAACTAACCCAGCATTGGTCGAGGAAAGCAATCCTGGTGCTATAGAAAGGAGTTGGGTCACAGAGAAATCTTTTCCTCAGCAAATGTGCGAAAGAGGATATATGCTGAAAATTACATCGTCCAACAGTCAATGACAAAGGAAAACATGATCGATAAGTCTACCTTAGACGCCTAAACCTCAAGCCTAAGAAAACCATTAAGTCTGCAAGGGTTTAAAGCTTACGCATTCTCCAAGCCATCCGAATTTCAAGTCGTTCTTTGGCCACCTCTCCTTTGGAGTCATCAAAGTTTTGTAGAAGTTGCACGATCCTACAAAAGACCCAATTGGATTCTCCCTGTAAAAAGACAAGAAATAGGTGTTAGTTCCATTTAATATACGGAACAAAGGCCTATATGTAAGCGAATCAACAGACTTACTTTTCTTCATTAATCCTCTCGATCAACTGTGCCATTTTAAATGGCTCTATTTCATGGAACGGATCATAAGCTCTGAGAGATCGAATTACACCATCCTTTAAGCGACTAACTGCGGACTTTCCAAGGAAAGGGGATAACTGCGAAGGGGCCTTTTGTTTGTTTCGCTTCGGTGCAGGTGTCTTTACACCCAGGGCACCTGCAAGTGCATTCAAAGCCATGTCCACTTTGTTGCAATTAGCATGTTCTACGGGGTTAGAAAATGTTGAACCTGAATCAGTTGGTTTCGCCATAGTTGCATCATCGGCTTTGGCCACTTCGTCGGTTATGTCGATCAAGTCATCCGTCGGTTTATATGGTGGAAAAACTGCTTCTTTCACAAACGCAGGGGTACTTCTCGCAACACACTGCATCGTCATACCATCTGATGTCTGCTTCTGCATAACCATCCAGGACTGATTCCAGGACAAGAAAAATCAAAGGATAAGTCTTCAGTAATTAGTACATAAGTCAGTCACAATTACAATGATACAGAGTCTACACCAATATTGGAAAATAGTCTACGTCTCAAAATAAGTCTACGGCTCAAAATTGTGATATTAAGTCTACCTTAATGGAATATTGATATTGTACCCTTATACAGCATAATTAATAAGTCTACAATAACGTTGTAAACTCAACTATATTAAGTCTGCGTGTTGTTATAAGTCTACAATAACGTTGAATTTCTTATTGTAAGGCAAAATAGAGTGAACAGCGATTTCAATTACTGCACGAAAGAAAATCAGGTTGACAGCATTGCAAACCAAATTCAACTTAACCACATTGAAAAACAAAACCAACTCAACCCATTTTTAAACTAAAACCAAGTTCACCACATTTCCAAACAAAACAGAAAAAAAAACTACAAAGGATTTGTACACATGAAAAACGACAAATTCAAAAAGTCTGGTGTCAAGCATAAGCCTGGAGTCAACCATATTACTCTCCATTTATGTTCTGCAAGAAAAAATACATATCAATCCGTGAATGGTAAGGAAACCAATTATTTTGGCCGTATCCTAATCTATTCACCCAAAAAAAATATAAAAATATACCCACATACATAAGTTACTGAAATACTTACCGGATCTTTGCTATTTCCATCATCTTTGAGACTGCCGCTAGAGTGCATTGCTTCTTCTTTGGACGCATTTTTCTCCAACTCTTTTACCGCCTTCAGTTCATTTTCAAATTGACACAATTTCCCTTGCACCATACCCTCCATTGAAGCCATTTTCGAACCAACTTTACCCTCTATTGAAGCCATTTTCGCAGATACATTGACCTCCATTGAAGACATTTTTTGCTCTATTTCTCCCTTCAAAACTTCAATAGATGTGCTCAATGCAGAGGCCACACTGTCTACCTTGTTTGTAAGTACTTCGAGAAGTTTCATTATCCCCTCAGCCATACCATCATTTTCAATAGATGACTTTGTCGGCTTTTCCGCCGAACTTACTCTTGGAATCTACGTATTAGAAAACTCTTTGTTACTAACCATTCCAATATGAAAAAACTCAACTAAACCACTTACAAACAACTGACCTTTCTAACTGTTTCTGATTCTTTGACACTTGTTTCTCCTTTCCGTTTATTGTTCCTCGGAAGATTCTTTGCCGTACGAGATATGCATGCTTCAACAAAGTCATCGTCGCTTTCGTCGACTGGTTCTTTCCCTTTACTCTTACTTTCAGCTTCTAGTGACCAAACATTCCTGGGGAGCCGATCATGGAGTATATCTTCCAAGAGTTTATCCACTCCAACATCCTCAGTATCATCACTCCACCGTGGTTTGGGGTCCTCACCATTATTAACTATAATATGTCTAACCCGTACCTAGCAATTACAATGCTTAATAAGGAAACTTGGCCAAAAACATTCATATTACACAAATGCACAATACAACATAGGTACATACCTTCACCTGGTTGTTCTTTTCTTCGAGAACAAGATCATCAAAGTTGAAACGCTTACGCGACCCAGCCCATGACAGAAGGGGAACTTCCATACCGTCAATCTTGTTCCCGAACCTTTCACCCAAAATGGTAATCGCCTCATAAACCCATATTTGGAGAATGGGGACAAAACCACCAATGGTATAAGATTTGCTGTTCAAATCCGCCAATTTCACAAACTCAATCAAACTCTCACAAGCGACTCTGCCCCATGGGAATTGCTCAAATGCCTCAACATCAAGAACGGTTTTCGCAAACTTAAGAGGAATTTTTGTAGATGAATGCAGCCCAAGGACGCCAACAGCAATTACACATAAGCATCCAACCATTCTCCGCTTGTCAAACGACCAGGTTCTACATCTCCGTAAGACCTCTTTCAGGTCATCCCAGCTAGGTCCATCGGTCAGAGAAATCTTCATGTCCCCCCATAGTTCCTTATGATCAGTGTCCCATGTTCCAGTTTCCTCATACGGCTGCGAATTCATCCCCGATATTGCAGCAAATTTACACAATGAAAAACGAATTGGTTGATCATCAACCAAACACCATATCTCGTGATTCTTTTCTGTAGCCAACTGCCGTGTGATAACATTGTGAACAGTCTTCGCCGACCAGATGAAATCGCTTTCAACAAGTTTACAAATACAACCAACAGGAGAATTTAAAAGATAGCTCCACACTTCGTCGCCTAAACTTTCCTTTATACTTCCAATGTTCCCCAAAACGCAGTAATGATGCATGCTCTTCTTCTGAGGTGGGATCTTGCGATCACCATAGTATCTGCCTGGATAAGATGCCATTCTGCACGCCATGGAAAAACTTTTCAGTACAACAAGTCTACGCTCTCATATGCATGACAAGTTTGCCTCCAAGTACAACAAGTCTACGACCATTAACAAACAATTCTTGGGAGTACACTTATATATCTCCACATCCCAAAGCCCGAACCCCATCAAGTTTAGAACAACGTCAAACAAATCTAACCCGAAGTAAGCAATTCTTACACGAAGTAAACAAATCTACCATTTCATCGGGTTCAGTAAAAACCCCCTTAAACATTATTCAAATCTACATCCACAAGTGGTCCTAAACTCATAGATCTACAGCCACACCGCGACAAAATTGTGTAAATCTACAGAAACAATGCGGCAAATTCAAATATATGAGATAATTTCCAGAATTTCAATCCTTTACCATCTCTCACACACAACATCACCTTTGTTTGAAAACAAATCTCGTTCACGAAAAAGATAAATTAGGGTTTTTAATTCAATCTCTATAAACCGTATCTAAAACCAGAGCAACACTAAACGACGAACTGACAAGAAGACTAAAGGAATCGAAGAGTCATGACAAACCTTTCGTTTACCAAGAGAATAAGAAAACAGGAACCCGGCGGAACGGCGAATTCAGGAGAAACGAACGCGAACAGTTTGCGGAGACAAAACACGCCACCGACGCACAAATCGCCGCTAAAGCCAAGACCAATTTTGGCCAAAAAAGAGAAAACCCAAAACCCTAAATAGTGGACGACGAGAGAGGGCGCCGAAAGAAGAAGATGAAAAGTTGTAAAATTATGAAAAACCAGTAATTGTAAAAAGGGTTATAAAACTTGGTCTCAAACTTTTTTTTTTAGTCGGGGTAATTATTAAGGAAATAGCATACATTGTAATTATAAGTATCAAATAAGGGATAGAAGTAATATCCTATATCTTTTACTTCTCCACGGTAAAATGAAGTTAGTCTAGTAATAAAATGATAGTTTTGGTGTATTCTAAATAATTTCCCTTTTTTTTTATATTCTTTCAAACAGTACCGAGAAAGCACTTCTATCAAAAATGTTTTTAATTAAAAATGTTTATAGTGACACACAAGCACTTCTATTAAAAGTAAAAAACTTCTTTGTAGTGGGAATAAAACAATAAATAGTGGGATTCAGAGAATAGGGATGAAAACAAAAAATCAACTGAATCAAAACGATTCAAACCAAATCAGTATCTAATTCAAATCATTCAGTTTAATTTTATATTAACTGGAATGGTCAAATTGAACCGAACCGATAAACCAATATAATTCTTTTAATATCTAATTAATTATCATATATATTCAGTATGAATAATGAATATACAGTTTGAAATCTAATTTTCTTTAAACCAATCGATAAGGACCAAAGGACTTGATATAAACGTTTAAAAACAACGACCATATTTCCATAGAAATATTAATATATTGTAACAGACCAAACCACGGGTCTCCAGATAAAATTGGAATTAGTCTGTTAAATCGATGGTTTAATTTTATTTGATTAGTCATCTGATTTGGTCTAGTAATGAGCAAAGGTCTGTCAGGACCAAAAATGTCTGTGTAGCAACAATGTTATTAGATACTAGATTCAATGCTAACCTGAAAGGGAATAAGAGTGGTGAGTAATTTGAATTACCTAGTCAAGTGCACCTTAAAAGATTCATTATCACTTCCAACATATTATAACATAGAGATTAAGAAAAGTCTAATCTTAAAACAAGCTCAAGCAGGACTCAATCCTAGATTTCTAGACTTTAGGACACAAGAACAATCATCCGGTTAACTATGTCTAAGTTCCGTCAATTCACCCTTAGCTCATCATCATGCTCAAGGCATGGCAAACTCCTTCATGCTTAAAGCATGGCAACCACCCATCAATTCATCTAATGCCCCAGGCATGGTAATATTCATCTTTTAAAGAAACAATCCTCACCTTGGCCTTTCTAAATGGAGATATCATCCACATTTATTCATATTCGAGCAGATTTGACATCCGTCACGAAAATGACCATTACTCTTGGCTCAGATCTCAGATCTGCACAAATTTGGTCTTCAAGAAAGCTGAGACTCGGGGCTTCAGTCTGATGGGTAGATCATCGCGTGTATTGATCTGCTCAAAGTTTAATCCCTAAGCTACTCTGCAAGAGCACATATGTGCAGTTGTAGTATTGCAGGGGTCGAACCACAAAGACAAGAAATTCACTCAATAAACCTGTTAGAAATTGAATTACGCTAAGCAGTTTAATGAGAAGCAAACAGCGATGCAATAAAAGTAAACGATGCAGTGAAAATGTTTGTAAGATTCGGATGGATGGAGATTAGGCTTAGGGCGTTTCTCAGGGAATAAAAAAATGCATATCAATTGACTAGTCAGGGTTTAGGTTTAACCACGGTTCTTGAACTCAAATTACAAAATTATAATTAACCAACTTCCGTTGTGAAAATTATCTAAGTTAAAATCCTAGAATTCCAAATTTCTTTGTAAATCCTACAGATTTAAACCAGCTTTAATTAATGCTCAAGTTTGATATGTTCACAAAGTATCTAAACCAAATTCCTTTGCGAATAGCTACTTTGCTCACCCTAGGTTCTTTCCAGTTATTTAATTACACTTCCGCGTCAATTAAACAACCTAATATCTAAGTTCTAGGTGATCAGTCCAGAATTAGCTTTAAGAACAACCTATGGTGAAGAACTAAGAGATATTATGAAACCTAACTTAATCAATTAATCAGACATCCAGAGAAAACCTTAATGAGAACCCTAAACCTAACAAGCTAACTACTCAGACATGGATATTGAAACAATAAACATGATTGAATAGATTGCAATAAGAAGATGAATAAAATAAATAAAAGGGGTTCGAAACCTTCTCTCTAAACGAACAGAGTTCAGACTTGTCTCCCGAAGCTCTCAAAATCGCAAAAAGCCTAAACCACAAGTTGTGTTCTCACGAAAATCTAAGGTAAGATTCAAAAGAGACTAAAAACCCTATTTATATCTTAGAAGCACGTATTGGGCTTCTTTGGAAACTTATGGCCCCAAATCCTTCTTCAAACAGGAAACAAAATCGCGTTTTCCTTATTTCTTTGACAAGCGTCGAGCGTCACTCTCCATGGTGTCGTGCGACACCAATGAACATGATTTGTCCTTCGCGAATTTGATCCTAATTTAGCTCCAAAGTTCTCCAAAATCTCCAGTTAAGCTCCAAACATACCTAAGACCTGTAAAAACTCCAAAAGACTCGAAAAACACTGTAAAGACTCTATAAATAAGACTTATATCATGGTCAAAAACCATAAAACCATGATATATCAACTCCCCAAGACTTAGCATTTGCTTGCCCTCAAGCAAACAAATTACCAAATAAGAGAAAGAGGTTTGAAAACACGGAGATTCAACCTTTCACTGGAACATCAGTTTTGATCGATCACCCTGCAACTAAAATACTGCTTCATCATTCCAAATCGAACCACCATGTACTTCTCCGCAGACATTCACAGCTTCCCAGATTAAGTCCAAAATTCCACAACATTGTCTATAAACCTTCATCGCTGGATCTCACTGATGATTCCAATGCCAAGAACCTTCTAGACTCTTTTCCGTACTATACTCAAACAAATCAGCCATATAATCCTTTGGTACCTTTCTCTCCCCCAGACTTATTCTTTTTCTCACTCTCATCATTTTTTATGGCATATACACGATAAGGTTAAAGCTGCGAGTACTGATGGTGTTTGCCATCGAATCCCCGATTTGTCCCCTTATCTTTATCAAAGGTTTTCAGCGAATAGTGGGGTCATAGGAAACTTTCCTACCCCTCGCTTCCTTCCTTTGTGTGATCATTCTACTTAGAAGTGAAATAATGGGATCCTTGGAAATTTTCCTAGCCCTTCACTCCTAAGCGAAAATCATCTCAATCTTTTCGGTCTTTTCTTTCTTCCTTCTCTTTTTTTTAGCTTGTCATAAGGGAGAGAAGCACCAACATTAGATCTCACACAGGCTTTCATTTGTCAAGTATAAACGAGGAATCAAGCTCTATGAACATCAGTCACATCAATGAGGTAAAAGAAAGAGTTCGGAAATTAGCTCAGGTTAGTGGACTTTGTTGGAAACATGGACGCCTCTAGTCAACTGGTCAGCCTTTGGATTTTTCATTAGTCGGATCTAAACTGAATCTTCAGCAATGGTCACTTAGATGAAAGTTCAGCACTATAATTCCATGAAAAGCATCATAATCTCCAACAAGTTTTTACTCAAAAACAATTTGACACGACTGAATCTTAATAAAAACAAACACAATGTCAGTGACTACCTCCCCCAGACTTGAACAACACTGTGCCCAGTGTTATCTAGCCCAAAGTTGGTGACAAAAGAAAGAAAGGAAACAGAGAAACGCAGTAAAAACGGAGAACTTACCTGGCTGCTTCGATGGTGTCGACCGACACTGATGATGGTGTCGTGCGACATTCGTTCTCCTTGTACCGAATTGCAGCAGACCCATCCGAATTTCTGGTTTGACTCCGGTTTCCTGATTTCGTAGTTTTTTTTTTAAAGAACAGAAACAAGTGACAGGCGACACCGCGAGTGGTGTCGCGCGACACCAGTCTCTGCTTCACCTAAATCACGAAAACGAAAAACGAAAATCAGCTGAAACAAAAAGGCCTATGTACAGACTTACCAGTGGATTGCCTTCCACCAAGCACTTGTTTAAAGTCATTAGCTTGACTTGAAGGGGATTCAGGCAGCAGGTACACCATCCAGAGGAACTATGTGTCTATCTGGAATCGCAGCTTTAGCCCATTAGTGCTTCACTCTTTGTCCATTCACTGTGAACTCCCTGCTGCCATCTGGTGTGAGGAGGAAGATGGCACCATAGGGTCGAACTTCCTTGACTATGAATGGACCTGACCAACGAGAACGCAGTTTACAAGGAAACAATTGTAAACGAGAGTTATACAGAAGTACCTGGTCATTCAGTTCGAATTGCCTGGAGAGGATTTTCGAATCGTGTTACGCCTTGGTCCTCTCCTTGTACAGCTTCGAGTTCTCATAGGCATGGTGTCTGATTTCATCCAGCTCATTCAGCTGTATTAGTCTCCTCTCTGCAGCAGACTTGATGTCGAAGTTCATCATCTTTATCGCCCAAGCTGCCTTGTGTTCGATCTCCACTGGAAGGTGACAGGGCTTTCCATAGAGCAGGTGGAACGGTGTGGTACCTAGAGGCGTTTTGAACGCTGTCCTGTATGTCCAGAGTGCGTCATCCAACTTTGCAGCCCTATCCTTCCGAGTTTTACCCACTGTCTTCTCCAAGATTTCCTTGATCTGCCGATTTGAGACTTCGACCTGTCCACTCGTTTGAGGGTGATAAGGAGTTGCAACTCGATGATGAACTCCATGTTTCTTTAGGAGTTTCTCGAAAACCTTGTTAATAATGTGAGAACCACCATCACATATAACAATTTGAGGTACTCCAAATCGAGGAAAGATAATGGTCTTGAACATCTTGAGAACCACTAAAGAATCATTGGTGGGGCTAGCAATGGCTTCGACCCACTTAGAAACATAATCAACAGCAACCAAGATGTACTTATTCCCATAAGAAGAGGGAAAAGGACCCATGAAATCGATACCCCAGCAATCGAACACTTCAACCTCAAGGATGAAATTCTGTGGCATCTCATGTTGCTTGCTGATCTTCCCTAACAAGCATCACACTGCGAGATAAAAGAATGTGCGTCGCGAAACATTGTAGGCCACCAAAAGCCTGCTTGAAGAACCTTAGACACCGTTTTGAAGGTCGCGAAGTGTCCAGCGTATTCAGATCCATGACAATGAAACATCACCTCTGGAACTTCTGACTCTCCAATGCATCTTCTGTAAATCCCATCAGAACAATGTTTGTATAGATATGGTTCGTCCCAGTGGTATCTCCTTAGCTCTCTCAGGAACTTCTTCTTCGCATAGCCTTTAAAGTTCTCAGGGTCGGTGTAGCACCCTAATCCGGATTTTACATTTTAACTTACACTTAGTCAAATTTCGATCCGGATTTTACTTAGCATTTTGTTTTGTTTTCGCATTTGGTTCGTTTAAAATAAGACATAGTCGTGCATAAGTGGATTAAAAACAGAATACTTGAATTAAATCGAGGTTCTCAGTACAATCATTGTTCGCATATAAGCTATTACATCGACTAGACCTTAACTACCCGATCCTACCATCCATTCCTTTCCAGCCTTAATCCGCGCGCGCTGATCAGACATCTTTACCTGCATCCACAAAGGAGGCATAAGCAAACAGAACTTCTTAGTGAGAGCAGTCATCCCGTCTGACCGAGCCAAAGCACAATTGCATCAAACAAAGATCGAGCCCAATGCTCATAAAAACAGAAAACTACCCTCGCATGACCATACACGCTTACCCGGCCAATCATCTAGCAACCAGACAAGCCTCGGCGAGCATCACAGCCGCGAGCGCCTTGCCTGATCAAGATCGCCGGTAAGGTGGATCAATCATCACGACATATCCAGCAAAAATGTCATGACAAGTACAGATATACACGCAACCGACTAAAATCTAAGCAAGAATACGACCAACTAGGCCATGGTCACGCACTCACCTTAGCTTTTGATCCGACAGATTCAGTAAAGACAGTAATCTCGATCGCTCAGACTCGTTCCCACGATCGCTCTGGACCGCGCAGAATCTAGACCACGCTCGACAGAATCGCACTCGTCTCAGCCAGAATCCGATAATTCTCGGCCAAACAGACTTTCTCTCGACTAACTTCTCTTAAAACTGTTTCTCTTAATCTTTCTGAGTTCTTTTGGTCGCGCGAAGGAGAGGAAATGAGCCAGAAGCCTTTATTATATAGGCGGTCACACAATTTTCCGCAGAAAACCGCCCAGAAACCGTTCCCGCAATAATCCGCACGCTCTCGGCTTAAAACCGCTCCCGTGCGTGGTTTTGCTCGACTAATAACAGTTCCTGATGGGCTTGCAGGCCTAGTGTTGTTTTTTAACAAGCCCGTTGGTCCTCCTTAAGTTTTAAGTTTATAAAACTTTTTTCTGGAGAGACAGGATATTACGCAAAACAGCAAGAGAGGATGAAACTGTAAATGCCCCCACAGTTTCAGTCACACTCTTCTTGCTTCAAGATTTCTGATCTCCTTTCTTCAGGTTCTCCTTATATTTCCCCCAGACTTGGATTTTTGTCCAGGTTGTGAATCCATAACTCCTTAAGTGAATACCTATTGCCTTGGCTCAAGTGATTTTGGCTTCTAAGACTCTTTAGGCTTTTAGTTTCCTTTCCTTTCTTTCTTTTTCTTTTTTTTCATTTTTTTTTTGAAAGGGAAAACTGCTTTTTGACTTGGAGTCTTAGGGAGCACGAAAATTACCTTTAAGAATGAGTTTTTCTGAGGCATCATAAGATTTCTGGCACACTCCCTTCTGGTATCTTTCAGTCTTTCTCTGAAGTGACTGAAAACTATGTTCTTCCTCCCTCTCCGGCGTTTTTGCACATATCTGTCGATATAAACTAAAGAGAGAATGCATGAGATTTGAACATGAAGGTTTGGATTAAGGGTGTGGTACCAGCTAAAGATGAACTGGCCATCTAGGACAACAAAGAGTGGTAACAATAAGGAAAAGATGTCCTAGATGTATATCATGACGCCTTTTTAAAACCATTGATGAGAAAATTAGATGTCAAGATTAAGTTCAAGTAAAATGAGCTAGTATATCATGTCAGAAAAGATCTTCATGAATAGAAGTCCTCTGGTGGGATTTAGTAGTGTAAGTACTCTAGCTACCGCATAGTCTAGTACTAAACCTTGAAAGAGCTTTTATGAGTGATTGGTGTAGAAGCAAACAGGTTGGTTATCATCATCGATTTTGTCATTATTCCCTCAAAATTTTTTTGACCTTTGAAAACACTTTTTGAAACTCAAAAGACTTTGAAAAGGTTTAAGAAAATCGAAAAAAATTGAAAAATTTTAAAGAAAATGCAGAATGCAATGGCTCATGCAAGAAAAGGTGGTTAGAAAGGGATGAAATCCTCCCCAGACTTAAATCACACTGTCCCTAGTGTGAAATAAATCAAGCAAGGATGAGAAATAGAGTATGTAAAGATTGTAAAGATAAGGAAAAGAAAACTTACCTGGTGTTGGTGATGGATTGTGAGGTGGTTGTGGTGGTGCTGCTTGATCAAACTTGGATGCTAGGGATCCAAAACTGATCTGAACAAGGTGGTGGTGGTGCTGAAACTGGCCAAGGGTGGAACAGATGTGGCCAAGGTGGAATGGAGGTGGCCAAGGTGGCCGGCTGTGCTGGCCGCGGATGAAGACATCCCGGCCGCTGTAGGACGCGCGCTGGTTGTGGTTGTGGACGTCGCAGCCGCGGTGGAGAGCTTGTTGGCCGCGGCTGAACCTCCTTTGGCTGCGGTCAGCTATTTTTCTTCTTTTTTTATTGATGGCATACTAAGGCCTGTCTAAAATAAAAGAAACAAAACTTTAATAGAAAAAGAAAGGTAAACAAAAACATATAAGTACCTAAAATGGATTGCCTCCCATCAAGCGCTTTGGTTTATAGTCTTTAGCTAGACTTTGCAAAGAAAAAGACTTAGTTCAAATAGGATCTTGTCCTAAGACAAGTCCTTTTCGAAATCCTCCTGTTCTGTCTTGCAGGTTCTTCATCACTCCAGAGTTCTTCTGGTTCAAATGCCTAGGCTATTTGCTCTCCTCTTTTGCTCTTAAGTGGTGTAGCTTTATAGAAGATGTCTTTGTCGATGTTAGCAAAAGAAACTCGCCTGTTGGGCCAATCCATGATGGCTCCAGCAGTTGTGAAGAAAGACCATCCAAGAATAACTGGATAAGAGTCATCTTTGGTCTTCACTATCTATAAATCGACAGGTGCAATGCAATCTGCAATCCTTAGAGGAATGTCTCGGGCTATCCCTCTTGGTGTTGCACTTGAATCATCTGCTAAGCTAATCTTTGTCCTGGTACCTGAGATGTGCTTAATTCCAAGTCTCAAAGCAGTTGCTTTGGACATCATGTTAATGGAAGCTCCAGAATCACAAAGAATATTGAGAAATCTTTCACCTCTAATGTCACAAGAGATAAGAAATTGACCTTTGTCTTGAACTTTGTGCATAGTTCAAACTGGTCTACCTTCTTGGGCGTGTGTGAACAAGTCTTTCATCTCTTGGATAGTTTCTTTGCTGTCACAAATGAAGTGGCCGATCATGTAGTCTCTACATGCTTTGGCAAACGAAATTCCTTCTGGCAGGGTCTGAACTACTTAGTTGAACTCTTCAAGTGTTTCTTTGCTAATCTTGTTTGTGTAATCACTGGCTTTTTGGGGGTCTTTGAGATGGATCCTGTAAACAGCTGCATCAGGTGATGATCTAGGAAAAGATAGATATCTGGCTCTTCTGAAATATATAGAGATTTTCTCCTTAGTCTCCTTGCTGTATCTGAAGAAGACTTGAAGGCAGCCTTGCTTCCAGACATCGTCGAATGCGAGATAGAGAGGAATGGACTTCACAAAATTGTTCAATTTGATCAGTCTCTCTCTGGATATGCTCTTGGTTATTGGTTCTGTGTTGTCATCAGATGAATCGTCCCAAGGGTTTGGATCTTTTACAAACAAACCATACTCTTCATCTTCTGAGAATTGCTCTTGAAGCTCATTGTCACAAGTGTAAACCATGTTGCAAGATGCATAAGTGTTGGATTCTTCCTTTTCCTTTGATGCTTGTGCAGTGATTGAGAAAACAGTTTGACCAAACAACCTAGGTCTGGTCACATGAGGTCGGTTTTCTGATGAACATGCTTTAGAAAGAGGTTGAAAGCTCTCCCAGTCTGAGAAGTCGTGCTCCACCGCGGGTGAGGAGCTCGGAGCCGCGGTGGGAGTGACTCTGGTCGCGGGTGAGGAGCTCGCAGCCGCGGTCAGCTCCCTCCGGCTCTCCATGCTTGCTTCTTCAATCTCTTCTTTTCCATTGTTGTTCTCTTGCTTCCAGTGGTTGTCAGGCATGTCTTGAGTATCTAAATCATTGATTCCAGAGTTCAGATCATACTCCTTATGATCTTTAGAAAGTTTTTCAACTTTCTCTTCTACTTCATCCAAAGCATAGACAACTTTGTCTAAAGTAGCATCAAACTCTTCAGTCTTGTTTTTAACCTTTGCTACGCCTTGCCACAGCTCCAATGTGTAGTCGTAGGTCTGGTTTTTGCTTTCATTCAGCTCCTTATCCAAGTCATCGATCTTAAAGGTTAGGGTTTGCAGCTCCCTTTCATTTTGCCGAATGCTGAACTTGTTTTTGTCTTGTTCTTCCCTGATAGACTCTATTCTCTGATCTAACACGTCATTAGCTTTGGTTCTCTGATCCTCTAGTGTCTTCACATGCTCAGAGAGTTCATCAAACCTTTTGTTAAGGCCGATGATCACGTCATCTATCCTTGTTCGAAGGGCAGCATCAATGAGGGCTTGGGAGGCAAGGAACTGATTCAGCTTGGTTTCCAATCGATTAATCAGGATGTTAAGTCGATTGTTCTTATAGTTCTTGTGCATAATCTGATGAGGAAGAGGCTGAGATGGTCGACGGTTCACCAGGTGTGGCGAATAGGGCTCATCTCGGTGGTGTAGAGGTCGCGAGTCTCCATGGTGGTGGTTCGGATTAGGGTTCCAAAGATGATGATCAAAATCACGCCTGGAGGGTGATTCACATGCGCAGGGAGCTTCACACAGGTCGCAGGACCTTTGCTCGGGGTTAGGGTTTCTCCTTGAATGATCCATGCTTCAAAGGTTTCTGAAACTAGGGCAAACAGAAGAGAGAATAAGCAGACAAAGAAAAAGTTCGGGTGTTTATGAATTTGGTTTACTTCCTATGTTGCTTTGGCAGAAACTCGACATATATATAGTCGTCTGTGGCTTCAACCTTCCAGTTTTAGACCTCCAGCGACTTCATGCCTCCCCGGCAACGGCGCCAAAAACTTGATGGGCTTGCGGGCCTAGGGTTGTTTTTTAACAAGCCCGCTGGTCCTCCTTCAGTTTTAAATTTATAAAACCGTAGTGTCTGCAAGTGCACAGATGTACGTTGTAGGACTTAGGGTGTCGATCCACAGGGAGAATGTCTAATCTGCAAGAAAAAACAAACTGGGAAGTAAGCAAACTCATAAACCAATAAAAGATTTGGGGTTTTTGGTTAAGATCCTAAACTAAACCTAATCTAATATTCACAAGAAATGCAATGCATGATGAATTGTTAAAAGAACATCTAAAGCATATCGACTCAAACTAAAGACTCTTAAACTCATAGGTGG